CAGGTTCATAGACACACACACACACACAGCACACACGGACGCCCGTATTACTGTAAAAGCTAGTAGTCTGTCTGTCTGTCTGTGTCATTCTGCATGCTTATTTGCGTGTGTGTGTGTGTGTGTGTGTGTGTTTGTGTGTCCTTCCTCAGGGCGATACTTGTTTGGTTGGTGGGTCGTCTATGTTTTGTGTTTTGACCCAGAAATACATCTAGTCTCTCTCTCTCTGTTTCATAACGTCTTCTCTTCACTCTCTCACTCTTGGTGTCTGTTGTTAAAATTAGTCTGTTATTGTACCTCATCCTACACACATCAACACTTTGAGTTGTTAGTGAATTAAAGTTTAAGTTTGCCCTTGAGCAAGGCAGCAGACTGCTATATTAGGAGGAAACCTACTTCTTCATGGTTATTTTCCTCCAGTAAAACTAAGATGAAAGCTATGTGTTTTAAAAGCTGTGATAAAAGTTAAATTCATTGTGAAAGAAATAATAACTACAACAAAATGTCTGATCACTTTGTATATCGATAACCTTTGCTAAACCATGATCCTCATGGTAACACCATCATTTTAGGGTATCTTTTGTTGCCACGCTTTTAAAAAGTGCAATTAAATGTTTCCAGTGAGCACAGGTGAGGCTCAACTCATGAATAAATACTTTTTTTAATAACCTGTCTTTTGCAGTACTGTGTAGTAGTACTGACATTAAGCATGTTGTAATCCACATGTACATAAATGCAACACAAAATAGGTCAGTTGAGTTCAGTTTGAGGCCATAACACACAAGAAGCAGCAAACAACAAAACAAAGACACGGAAATGATAAGAAAACAAAAAGAAACATCATTAAAACAGTCTGTAAAAAAAGTGGAAGCTTCTGAATGCAGACAGATATCAAAGTGTCTGTTCAGTAATTTGATGTTTGTAGCAGTTAGTCGTCTTTCAGCCTGAAGCTGAAGGAAGAGGAGTGAGTGAGGAGCACAGAGGCTGATTACTGTGTGAGAAGACCGACTCTGATTCTTATCTACAGCGTCATTCAGAGCATTCTTCCACTTGACTCGAAGATCAGCAAACGAAGTCACCGAAGTTGTCAGTTGTCATAAAAGAACAAAAGTTTGGTCTGTTTAAACAAATAAAAGAAAAGAACTACGCCATCGGTACAGAAAATTTAGCATTATGTAGGTATTATTATATGTACAGTATTTTGAGTGAGATTTTCACTTTAAGTTGTGAAAGCAGTGAAAAGGCAGGGGGGGAAGGGAAGGAAATGAGGAAGTAAAGGATAAGAAGGGGGTGGAAAATGAAAGGAAGAGTTAGAGGAGGAAAGACAAAGAAGGAAAGGAGGGGGTGGGGGGGTGGAAGGAGAGGAAGAGGCAGAGGAGAAGAAAGATCAGGATGTATGGTAGTCAAAAGGGAGGTGGAAAAGGAAAGTAGTAGGTAGGTGAGGAAGAGGAGAATTGAATGAGAAGTTGCGTACAGATGGGTGGAGGTGCAAATGTAATAGATGAGGTCAGGAGGAGACTTACGGGGGTAAAAAGAGAAAGGACATGAGAAGACAATCAGGAGGAATAGAAGCAAATGAAATGGAGGCAAGAAATAACTGCATAATAGACAACAACAGGAATATGACGCAGTATTTTCTTTCTGCTTCCTCTTTCTGTTGCAGCTTCATTTTAATTAGCCTGGGTGCCTGAAAGTCCTGTAAAAAACAGTTTGTGTTTGACTGTTTGGTTGGTAGCTGCTATCTGAGAACCAGGAAGTAAAATTAAAACTTTAGCTGGTTTAAATGCAGGTACGCGTTCGCCAGACGGTTCCTGGAGAAAGTCCTGTGGTCTGAAAGGGACATTAGAAACCTGTGTGACCAATCAAATGCTGTCTCTCTTCATTTAATTTAGCATTATGAATCATTCATAAAACAGGTGTGTTTGACAGTTTTCATTCAGAAGATGCTAACAACAAAGTGTTTGAGCTAAGATTAGAGACAGAATACAACATGATTATATATTAATATATGTGTGCTCTTGTACAAGTATCTTTGTGAGGACCAATTTGAGGTTCAGATTTTGAGTGTATGGACATTTTGTCTTCATGTTTTAGAGGGCTGTGTGTTGGTTTCAGGGCTCGGGTATAACATGTGTTAAGATTAGGCGTGTAGATGTGATGGTTGGGTAATGGTTCCCAGAGATAGATAGATAGAAACATTGAGACAATTTTAAATCTAATGTCATCTTATCTTTGTAGTTTTAAATTTGTGTGCGCAAGTCAGTCCAGCTGACTTCATCTTCTGTCAGTAATGTGTGTTACATGATTGAGATGCACATGTGCAGGGCGTTTTGTATGTATCTTTGGCATTTGTGTTATTTTGTATGCCTTTATTTAATTAGTGTGCGTGGATTTAGTTTCCTTCCTGATCACACACCTCGAAGCCGGTTTGTCCTTTGTCCACTACTGGGGTGGATGTAGGAAACACCGATTTTTCCAAGCAATGACAAAAAAAATTATTTTTAAACAAATTAGTTGGGGAAATTGGGAGGAGGCTTTGGGGAAGACCCAGGACTGGTTGGAGAGATTATATCAACCCCAGATAAGCAGTAGCAGAAGATGGATGGATGGACAGTTAGGAAAACAAAAACAGTTAGGAAAACAAAAACAGGCCTAAATGTCTCACCAGGTAGCAAGTTTTTAATTTTTCCTTGCAATATTTATCTATATTTATCTCTCTATGCACTTTAACTGCACTTCAACTCTCTATGGACTTTGTGGCTTTATGATAACGTTACATTACCTTATTTTTTAAGGAGTTCTGTCTCCTGTTAATCATCTCGAGAAACCTCAAATCTATCTCACGACTTTGGGAATGCATTACCTCAGCGGGAGTCCTGACAAGTATAGAGGTACCAACAAGTGTCTACGTGACCAAGTGTCAGCGCAGAACGGAAACCAGGACTGAACAGCTTATCAGGAGCTACTGTACTTGTCGTACGTCTGTGTGTTTGTGTGTGTGAGAGAGACCGAGTGGATGACAGCTTTTGATAAGAACGGAAAACAGAGCTAGATTTTCCTTTTGATGTGGACACACACACACACACTTCCGAAATCAGATTTGGGAGCTGTGAAGAATAAATGCATGAAGGGATGAAAAACGAGGGCTGTCTAATCATTCAATTAGGATCCAAGGCAGATGGTCTGGACACACACACACACAAACACACACACACACACACACAACACAACACACACATGCAGACCTGTTATGCACTCACACTTTGTCAGCCTTGCTCTGTGCGAACTTTTGTCTCTCTCTGTGTAATTCTATAGTCAGTGTAACTCTATACTTGATCGCCCTGTTTCCGAGTGTTAATGAGACACTATTGTCGGCCTGAACTCCATTACTTGGACATCCCATAATTACATGACTGTACACATGCATATATAGCAACATAAAATCAGTGACCGGCTTTCTCTCTCTGTCTCTGTCTTAATGTTAGCAACAGTATGTCTCTTTGCAGATTAATCCCTTGGACCATTTACACTACAAGGCCAAAAGGAAATGGACACTCAAACATTACACCCATATACAGTTATTGAACATGTGATTCTGACACCATGGTCATTAACATGCTGCTCTATCAGCCTCCACTCAATCCACCAGATGTTGAACCTGTTCCCATTCAGACATCAGAGCATCAGTGAGGTCCAACATTGATGTTGGTGATCAGGTCTGGCTCACAGTGTTCCAGTTCTTCCCAAGGTGTTGGATGGGGTTGAGGGCAGGGCTCTGGGCAGACCAGTTAAGTTCTTCCACAACAAGCTGGCAAAACATAAAGAAAAACATTTCTTTATGGAGCTGGCTTTGAAACAGTAAAAGGACAAATGCAAACTGTTGAAATTTGTCTAAAATATCATTGTTTGCTCGAGCATTAACATTTCCCTTTAGTGGAACTAACCAGGAAAACAGATCTAGACCAAAGTTACACTATGTGGAGAGTGTGTTCACATACTCTTGGCCATATAGGACATGTCTTGTGTGTTACTTTGGATTACTTTGTGTTAACTGGTTTGGTGTGTGGAAATGACCAATTCATGACAATATCAACAGAGAATATTACAGAATTGAGCTTTACGTTGATCAATATTGTTATGTGCTCTCATGTTGAATAATCCTAAACTAATGTATTTAATCAAATTACAACAAGCAAACCATGGGATCCGACACTGTTCTGTAGAAACTGCACACATTGCATAGAGTGGGAGGAACTGGGGGTTGACAGCAGCCCAGCAGTTAAATCAGTCCACGCTCACAGGTTGGTGAGAAGAGAGCAACCCTGAAAGTTAAACTAAGTAATAAAGTAAACAATACATCTCTAAATCAATCCCAAATGGGCAACCAGTGTAGAGAAAAATTGGAATAATTCCAAGTCTGTCACATTCTGTATTAGTTGTCTAATTTACAACTGTTAAAGGATCTTTGACGTTACCCATGATACATTTCCATCCACCTAGTTTTACTCTTGACAGAGGTTTAGAAAAAGAAAAAAAAAAATAGGCTGATAAAAAAATTATTTCATTTAAATTTTTTTGGGGGGGGCATTTGCCTTTATTTGATTATGACTGTGGAGATACAGACAGGAAATGCAGGGTGAAAGAAAGAAAGAGGGGTGTGACATGCAATGAAGGTGTCTGGCCTGAACTGAACAAGTGACATTGCGATCACATATACAAAATTTAATAATTTGATGGAGGGCCCTTGTTGAAACTACATCGTGTCCTAGTAGTTCCAACAACTCTGTCTGAGTTTGTTGAAAGGTACTCTGGCTAATGTAGGAAGAGACTCTCTGGAGTACACAGAAACTATGCTGCTTGAGGGAAAGTTGACGTTGTACTGTATATTACAATATGTAAAGTGTCCGTTTTAGAGGGGTTCTTTATGCAAAGTTTGCTATAGATTTTTTGCTATTGCTATTTGCTATTAGTTATATATTTATCTTTTCTCTCTCTGTGTGCAGCTGGTATACTGGGCCAGTCTGCAGCAGGATCAGGATGAGAAGATGGCTGGCTGTGTGTTTCCAATGGGACCAGAGAGCTTTCAGCGCTTCACGCCGGACTCCCTGGCGGCCATCGAGCAGCGCATTTCCCAGGAGGAGGCCCGACGCAACAAACAATACCAGGAGGTAAACACACACAGACCTGTATCACACTCACACATTGTCAGTCTTGTCCTCTCCGAACTCTCGTCTCTCCCTGTGTAATCCTGTAGTCAGTCTCTTTCTCCTGACAAACACAACTAGGATATTAGAAGATGTAAGGCGGCTTCAGCAGACAGTTGTGAGATATTTCGGGAGCTGGTGATGTTGTGGTGATGTTATGTTTGTGTGTGTGTGTCAGGACCTGGGCGATGTGGTGGTCCCCCGGCCCCGGCCTGACCTGGAGGCAGGAAAACAGCTGCCGCGCATCTTCGCCGACATCCCGTCTCATCTGGTGGGCGTTCCCCTGGAAGACATCGACCCATACTACTTCAAAAACAAGAGGGTAGGTAACCCAGAGAGAGTGTGTGAGCATGTTTGCCTGTGTGTGTTCGTGGGTGAAGGTTTTTGGAAATGCCCTGTCACTCCTGTTGGAGAATCCCTGGAAGATAAATTGACTCTTTGATAGCCTACTTCACTGATGACCAGAGGGGAGGTGACCGAGTGAGTGTTTCCCCTCCACAGTTTGTCTTTGTCATGTTTGTTCTGTCTAGATCCCTTTAAAACTCTCAGTCCATGTTTACGCCTGGTATATGTGACCATGGTTCTTGTCACTCCTTCTCTTTTTTGTCTTCCTTCTCCTGCAATCTCTTTCCTGTTTTAGGGCATTTCAAACCTGCGTTGTTCAGTCCTTTTGAATCCGACTCTGGTCAGTTTTCCCCCTTGTTAAGACTCATTTGGGCCGATCTGAACTCAGTAATCGTACTCGAGTGCGGACCAAAATAACCGTACCAAGACCCTTTAGAGGAAGTGGTCTCGGTACGGTCACAAACTAATTCTGGAGCAGTATGTTTGTGGTGGGTACGTGATGCGAGCTCAATCCGACCCAACTAAGAGACATACTTTTTGCCATGGTCCAGACCTTTGACTCCGCCCCCTCCATTAAGTTTTCTGATTTTGGTCTGGTATCATGACATGAAACAAGAGTTTCTCGGTTGAAAACGTGTTTATCCAATGAAAGCGGCCTAACCAACTACTAGCCAATCAGCGCCATGTGTGGGACTAACGCTATTGTCACATTTTTGGAGGAGTATTAACAACACTGACCAGGGATAATTTATTAATATCGCCCAACATAGTTACCATCATAGTTTGTTATTACTTCTCCACTTGTAAAAAAATATGCTGGTGTCAGTGTCAACTTAAATGACATTAGATAGAAATCAGATTGGAGGCAGTGATGTCAGACTGAAGATGGAGGTTACAATTCTGTCTGATATCCTGCAAACATACTCTGCAAGTTTGAAGAAATCGGCTTAGCCAGGTGCCCTTGGCACACTGGGATGGGGATGAGAGACATCAAATTATTAATAACACACGATTGTACCACTTTCTAATAACTAATACTGGCTTTATAGATCAGTTACAAGCCATTAATAACAACTCCAGGGTTGTGATGTTGTGAAAAATTCCCCCATAAACAAATTATACTAACAACTTATTAACATTTCCAACTTCAGATCGAATGGATTATTGTAAACATAAGTAAATAAATAAAAGCTTTTATTAATTACTTACTATTGTTTGCAGACCTGATGACAGAAACCTTTCATGCATCATTAATGAATTACTGCATTATTAGATAAAAAGCATAAACACCTTTTAATAGATCTTTTTTACAACCTAGCAACCCTAAATTAATTCTAACTAATTAATTCATTAGTAGCCATTCGTTACCATTTAGAAATGCTTTGTAAAGCGTGCCTTAGTAGGAAGTGCTGCCCAAGTGTCCTAATATCATACAGATAAATCCTAGTTTTAGGCGAAAGTAGAGTAAGACGCCATTACTTCATTGCAACTTGTAGATCCATGTATTACACTGTAATGTATATAAAAGATTTTAAAAGACATTTTTAATTAACTTTGACAGGAAATTGGTCCAAAAGATCCTGTGAAACTGGTCATATGTTGAAAATATGGCCATTAAATGTCAATAAAGTAAAGGTCATAACTGTAAATCTACAAGCGTTAAACCGTCTGACGTGAAAGTGCTGCCCGTACAGGTACATGTACAGCCGCTCACATACCTAGACGCTAGGCTTCACCTCCTGCTCCCCTACAGAATTCTTCTGTTCAGCAATAGTGAGGGATCATAGACCCTGACTACAATTGGAGGCATCACAGGTCAGAACTGTGGGGCTCCCCAGGCCAAAATGTGCAAGCACTGGTGGCGAGGTGAGCTTCTCCCTGGGTTGGCAAACAGCGACTGAACAGCCAGAAGTCCATGTCCAGTGCCGAGGCTAACAGGCATGTGGGTGGAGCGAAAAAAGCTTTAAAGTTGGCTTTGACTGGTCGCAGCTCTGGGTTGAGGAGGGGCTGGTGGTTAAAGGCAGTGAGGCAGTCTAGATGGAGAACCCCAAGCACAGAACAAGTCCGTACCCATAAGGTTGGACACTTGGAAGGTCTATGATAAGAAAGCCTCGGTCCCTTAGCAAATAGAGAAGGCTGTTATGGCTACTGTGCCAATTCTGGGTTTCCATAGCTGTCGAAATTGGCATCCAGGGCAGGAAGAGCTGCCAGATAGTGGAAATGTTCAGAAGTAACCTCATAGCCCCTGAATCTAGCTGGCTGAGTTTCTAGTCCTGCTGTAGACTTGATCTGGAATGCTGTTTCCACAGCCTTTGCCAGAGTCAGTTCACGATTTCTCTCTGACGTCCTGGTTATTAGTGTGTTCAGCCAGCTGGTCCCTTAAAAAGTTGGACACTCGCCGGACAGTGCAGAGAGGTGGGAACGAAATCTCTGATTTCATTAAAGACTGCAACTCTGTTTCACGTTCCGTTATGGCAAACTTCCTCAAACCGCTGTGCGTAAAGCCGCAACTACAGCCGTGACTAGTGTGGCTAATGCACAACAAACTGTTCAACGAAATTTAGTCCAGTTGTAAGAGATAGCTAGACCTCTTTCATTCTGCTGTGCTGTAATCAGCTGCTGCAACAAAAAACTGAAACTGCGGAAAACGAAAAGCCACAAGCCTCTGCTCCATGAAATTCATTCCACTTTCTAAATCTCTATTATTATTTAATCCTCATGTTTCGATCACATTCTAAGCGGCTTGCTGAGATAGGACTGAACATGAATGGGCCCGAACTAAAGACCAAGCGATCTGCCAACAAGATGCCGATGGTGAGCAGTATTTACAGTACAGGTTACAGTGTCATGTGTTTCAGATTTTTATGAAATGTTGCATTTCTTCTGATTACAATGCAAGTTATCATGGGGTGTAATGATTTAAATCACAAGCTAGCATGTTGCTGCTGGATTTAATGAGCTACTCCACACGGCACTTTCACAACCACACTGCAGAGGTTGGCCACAAGCGGTACGTTGTTTTCCACTAAAGCCTGAGACCTGAGAAGTTTAACCCTAGTGCTTTGAAACTGAACAACCAAAACATCTCTGCTTTCTCTGTCAGCGTAAATCTGTTTAGTTTCACTTTGCCACCGCGACATGGCGGTGGCTCTATAAGGTGCAACACAAAAATCTGCTGTCGGGTTTGTCTATGTATATAAAATATATGTGTAATAAATGTTTTTTTCTCTCTCTGTCTTTGTTGCAGACCTTCATAGTCCTGAACAAAGGGAAGGCCATCTTCCGTTTCAGTGCCACATCAGCTCTCTACATCTTCAGCCCTTTCCACCCCATCCGCAGAATCGCCATCAAAATCCTGGTCCACTCATATCCTTCCACAAACACTACTACTGCTACTGTATGTATGACGCATGATGTCCTAGCTGTGTTATGATCTACTACTGACTGTGGGATAATGGCTGCAGGGAGGTCAGAGGCAGCCTGGAGGGGCTCAGTGTGTGCTGAAGGATGCTGTGTGTAAGCACCCAGGCCAGCCTGATGGCAGTTAGGGTGATAATGTAAACAAATAGAGTCAGGCTGGGTGGTTCAACACCGCAGGCTGCTGAAGCCTTTGCAGTGGTTAATCCCATCACCCATCATGTTGTTTTGCATTGTGTAACATCGGCACAGGCCTGAAGTGACAGTGAATGGTGGAATTTTGAAGGAGATTTGCAGTTACTAAGACACCAAAACACAAACAACATCCTCAGAAACCATTAAGTGTTGATTGTACACATGAATAAATGTTTCATAGTCACAAAAGTGCAGTTTCCACTGGCTCTCTGAAGGTTGCTCTCTTACTGTCCAGCCACCAGATGTTCAGATGAGAGAAGAGACCCTGATATCATGAGAGGCATATTGTCTTGGGCTTGCGTGCTGGAGGTTTGAAATTAAAAAGATGTGGGTGTTTCCGAGGCAGATGGGGTCTACGAAAAGGTGCATCTCGGCACTTTTTAGAGCTGCAACAGTTAATCAACTAATCGATTAGTCTTTTGACTAAAAGGAATCGGAAACTAGTTTGAAAATCAATTAATATTTTTTACTGTCAGCTTTTTAAATGTTAGAATTTGATGCTTTTGTCAGTCATACGACAGAAAACGGAAAGTCTTTGGATTTTGGAATGGTGGTTAAGTGAAACAAGTAATTTGGATATGTGTCCTTGGACTCTTGAACAGTATTACAAGCATTTGTCAAAGTTGTGTTGCATTTTGTTGACAAAAGGAATCAAGAAAAAACACTAATGATGATAATGATTTTTTAAATCAGTCTATTTTGATTGTCTCTCGCTCTACTCCCTAGTACAACATTGAATCACTGGAGTATCTTGTTTTAATGTTTTATTACGGCTGTGAACACATTATTTTTAAATTACATTAGTAGTAATTGTATGGTAATGTTGTAGCTTTATGAGATATCCTTAAAGCGGAAAGAAAAGGGTGTCAACAGAGTGCTGTTTGTGTCTTTGTACACTTGTGTTAATGTGTAAGTGACACAGAGAGAGAGACTGAAGTTTTGTGTACACTGGCTGTGGCTTGGCAGTGTTTACAGTTTTATCAATAATTGAAAGTCTTGAAACAGTAAGGGTTAGTCATGGGATTAAAAAAAAATGTAATCACCAGTAATGGAGGCTTTTTTGTGCTTTTTGTGCAGTTTTTCTGGGTTATTAATGGTTTATTAATGTGAAATGACCCATTAAACATATCTAACGTGTATTAAATGAAACCTGATTACCTTCAGTTGTATACAACATGATGAGTAATGACACTCACTGAATTTATGCGTTAATGGAAAACAATCTTAAAAAAATATACTGACAAATAAGATGTTTTCACATTAAGGTAGTTGTCCACCTGAATCTTTCATTAAAACAGAAGATAAGCAGCCAAAAATGAAGGGGTTGTTTAAGGTTGTGAGGAAAAATAATGTAACTGATATATTTTCTTCCTCCATTAATAATTATATAATAATAATTCTGATGTGGTTATGTTAAGTATAAGGGGAGATAAATATAAATGCAAACTTTGAATGTTTGAATATTAAAATATATATTTTTTTTTACATGTATCAAAATACATTTATTGCAGTGATTACAGGCCAAATAATGTTCATATTCCAGTATTTGTTACTCAAATGACTGTGTGTGTGTGTGTGTGTGTGTGTGTGTGTGTGTGTGTGTGTGTGTGTGTGTGTGTGTGTGTGTGTGTGTGTGTGTGTGTGTGTGTGTGTGTGTGTGTGTGTGTGCTTATGAATCAGCTCATCCTGTCGTTCATATTTCTAAACCATCTTAAGCTGTCTTGCTAGCTATAAACATGACCAGTAAATATTTGCCATCAAGGTGGTGCCTGCCAGGGCACACGCACACACGCACACACGCACACACGCACACACGCAACAGGTGAATATACAAACTGTGCAGTTAAAGTAATTGTCCAGCTCCGACCCCTGACCTTTGACCTACAGCCACTCAAAGTTGTCTAAAAAAAATCTCAGCCAGGTTTAGTTCATTGTGTTTTTTACACTCGTGTTGGTACGCTGCGAAGACATCCCTCTGTTTAATCCTCATCTCTAAAGGAAGTTTGGTCTAAAAACTAACTTCTGAAGACGCAAACGAAACTCTGTCTCCAAAGACGTCAAAGTGAGTCAATGTCCAATAATGCGTGGTTGTGTTTAAAAATAAATAAAAGCATTTCATACTTGTTGGACGGCTATGTACACTAGTTACACGCTCCGTATGAAGACTTTATGTTTAAGCTTAATTATTTAAGTATTACAAAGTGCCATGGCATTGGTTCATAATAATGAGCGGTAAAGAAGTTGTTGGAAATTGTTTCACATTTTCTAAGTATTGTTTTTATTGAGTTTGGGAATTGAATAAATCTTTGGTTGGGAGTCGACGTTCAGGTTCTACTCTCAATGAAATTGATTTACTTCAACTCAACGCAGACTCAGAAAGTAGATTTCCTCCTCACCTACTGTGCTAATAGTTAAAACGTTTGACAGCAAATTAGTTGAAGCAATTTCTCAGCAAACATAATTCTAACTGACAGTAGAGCGCTAAAAGAAATGAAATCTTGAAATCTGCGCTGAGTATATGTTAAATTTTCCTTTTCACCATCAAGGGAACATGGTATTCCAGGTGATCACGTGTAAACGCCTCAGGCTGATTGAGTGAATGATGATGTGGGAAACCCTCAATGAGTCCTGAATGTAAAGGCTCCAGCTATGGGATTTTGGCCAGTCACCCGTCCCATGCCATACTCCAGCTCCGTCCGCTCTGGGCTCCAGACGCCAAGCCAACATGACAGAAATTACTTCACACCCAAAACTCAACAGCCTTCCCCTCGACACCCCTCCCTCCTTCCCTCCCCTCACCTCACACTCATCTATTTTTATTTGGGAAGCGGCTGCTGGTGTTGAGAGATGTCGAGCCGGCGGACACGCTGCTGTTGTCAGGGGGATAAGTGGGCGAAGAGGTCGGCAACGGAGGTGTGGCGCTGCTGATGTGCTAGGTGTGTGTTTGTTTGAGTGTGTGTTATAATGAGACAAAACAAAAATTAGAACAAGTGTGTGTTGAAGGGGGGGGGGGGTTGTTGTAAGAGTACAAGTTGTGGTGTTGAAGTGGAATTTTAGTGTGTGTGTTTGTGTATGAGTGTTTTTATATAAGTGTGTGTGTGAGATCAAGTGTGTTCTGGATTTATGCCCCGACCACGCTGGCGCCACAATGACAAGCTGACAATGACACACACACACACACACACACACACACACACACACACACACAGTCAGTCCTGTTATCAAAGTTTGAGTGTTGTCTCTCTCAGGTGATCAGTATCGACACTACCTGTAGTTTTTTTTGACAGAAAACAACGTTTGACTACCCTTTCTTCTGGAGGTCACACAGTGGACTTTGTGTCCCATGAGGCATTGCTCAGGGACCATGCTAATCCATCATCGACACCTCGAAGCTGCACTACAGCCTCCAGCTGTGTCGCATCGTGTGTGTGATTTGTCTCCGAGTTGTTCTGGAGCTTCTCTGGTGTCGCTGGGTTCAATTGATGTTGCCTGTAACTCGCTGACTTCATGTTGTTGTTGTTTCTTTGTTGCTGAGGTGGCACCGAGTTGCTGTGTTGGGTTTGCGTGAGGTTTTTAAACATTGTGTAAAATAGTGTAACCATTGTGTTACCGGAGTGATGTGTTGTTGTTTTTTTTTTAGCCAGAGCTATTTGTAAGTCTCTCAGGGCAAATCCGAGTCAACCAAGAGAAGTCAGAGTCAAGTCGATTAATGTAATGACTATGATGATGATGCATCTCAAAAGGCATCTTGTAAAAATGTCAAATTAAGCCTCAAGTCCAGAAGTCCTGGTCCTAGTTTAGAGGAAGTCTAAGTCGAGTCATAAATATGTTTAGGCAAACTCCAACTGAAATGCAAGTCTGGTTTCTTAATGCGGACGATTAAAATGACCCAGTATTTGAATATGTTAGCTGTCTGATTTGTGTGCTATAGGTTTAGACCAGGCCAAAACTTTTAGCAATTCCAGTGCAGTAACCTAATTTTTATGACTTAGGTTGACAGCTCTGTTTTCTGGATGGTTGCCTTGTGTCAACATTTTGTTAGCATTCTGTCGGTGCTGTGATTGAACAGTAAAGATGTATCATTAACTTAGCTCTGTGTTAGCGTTGCATTGTCAGCATGTTAGCGATGCATTAGTGCTGTTTTGGCATTATGTTTTTGTAATGGTACAGACAACACACCATGTAATGTATGTCTTTAAATCTTTATATTAAATAATAATGATCTGTTCTAAATAATCGGCAACTTAATCAAAAATGAAAATCCTGATCCCTGCGTCCTTCCTCTCTAGGTTTGTGCTATTGATCCAGACATGTTTCCTCCCTGCTCTTCTTTTAAAATAAAAGCAGACAGCGGAGCAGCTCCACTGCCCTGTGAGAAATGAGCTTTGAAAGGATTTGATTTGGGATGAAAACATTTAAAGTGATTCACTGTCCCAGTCCTGACTCCTGAATGATGGAGACAAGGAAGACGCACATGTTTGAAAGAAAGAGGGAGTAAAAAGGTGAGCGAGAGGAAGGTAGGTCCCGTGGAAGATGTGGGAGGTGTAATGACATTACTGGTATGGTGGCCTGGGAGGTCCACAACAGCAGGGCTATCATTAAGGCATAATTAGCTCCTGGCTCTGCGGCGGCGGCGGCGGGGGGACATTTGCGTTGTTTGTCAATCGGTAACCATATTATCTCGCCGCCTGCCACCGCGCTCCAGCAACATCATTACAGCCGGCACTCAATCAACAATTAGCCTGCAGCTCAAACAACTTTCAGCTGGAGTTTTTCGTCGCTTTCACACGGGGAGTATGTTCCTACTGCCAAATTACAATAATTATGATTCATTTATAGCTGTGATTGACAGCAGAGCAAGGTCTCACAAAGTCTCTCCCACCTCATCGCGTGTATCGTGCTGAACGTGGCAGGTGAAGGTGATATTTAACATGCATTGCTGCCTTCTGACAGTTCGGAAAGTTTCTGCTCCCTCTATTTGATGATTAGACAAGAGTGGGCCTTTTCTCCAATTTGGTGCTGTTAATGGCATATTAATTTGCTGTATTGAATGTGGCAGGCATCGGAGGGGAACACATGCTAACTTGGCGCAGCCTTTCAGTTCACTTCGTCTTTATTTAGCCCTAATGGGAAATCAGTGAAAGGTATTTAAAAAAAAAAAAAAGCTCATGTAAAATCACTTCGGCATGTAGTCGGTACACACGCACACACACACACACACACACACACACACACACACACACACACACACACACTGTGGCAAAAAGAGACGTTTTTACATTTACATTTCAGGCGCTTAGCTGACACTCTGCAGAGAGACTCACAATGAGGGAGCAAGTCATAAAAGCTTCAGTTGCTCGATCGCCAACATTACACTGACGACATTTCCATTTTACATTTGACTTGGTGCTCTTCTCCACAGTGACTAAGAGCCGTAAATCACAGAAAAGTACACTCAATCGACTGTCGAATTCTCTTTCTAGCAATTTTTGTCCTCTGTGCTAAACCCCAGTCACCTGCTTTGCAACAAACTATAAAAAGTGTTTCACAAATTTGAGGTAATAGCAGGTCAAACTTCGGACTTTTATGACGTGTTTTCTTGACTGTTACTTATATAATATTTAGTACTTTGTGACAGGTGTTACCCAGTAAATTATTTCTCCACCTGATCCCAAATTCAAGATGGATTATGAGACAATGGGCTCCTGAACATATCTAGAGTCACCCCCCAAGTCCTGCCGCCAGAGAAAACTTCCTGGAGGGACATTTTTTAATCTCTAATTTCATTTTGATGCATGGTTGGTTAGAACTAAGGGACAGATTGTGGATTTGTTCCATTAAAATGTTGTGAGAGGGCTGCTTTTGTCATTGTGAGTTTCTTGCACGCATTGTAACTGGAATTGAATCCCTTTGCGCTGCAGAGGTTGTGCGACTACCACACACACCACCTGTGTGACTCTTGGGATTCCTGCATAATAATATAATGACACATTCTGTTTTTCTTTCTATCGTGTGCTGTATGTGGTGTTACTGCAGGTGTGAATATAATGTGAAGCCTCCTTTTTCCTTAACCTGCTCACGTTGTTCAGTTTGTTCATCATGTGCACCATCCTGACCAACTGCTGCTTCATGGCCATGTCCGAGCCGGCGTACTGGGCCAAATACCTGGAGTAAGTACACCTGTCTGTCTGTCTTTGGCCAGTTGTATCCCTCAGTCAAAGCTCAGTCAACTTTGGGAGGGGATTCCCACACACTGTCTAACTGCTGTTGAATGTAGTGCTGCCAGGAGATGCCAGTACACTGTGGTCTGATGGTGCAAAGGCATCCAGGACAAAGAAAGGAACTTATGAGGCAGGGTGGAGGGAGACCAGTTCAGAGGGAGAAATTTGGCTGATCATTCTGCACAAACTGTGGTGATCAAAGTGTAAAGCTTATTTTTAGACTAATGCCATTTTAACTCAGGAGACCCAGGGTGAAAGTCAAAGGTGACAGGTTTTAAGGTAAATAACATTTTGTAGGTGACTTACATAATCTTTTCCTAAACCTAACCAAGTGGTTTTGCTCCACAATATTCACCACGTGTTAAATGTCACTTATGTAATTTGTAAACGCTGGTAGTACATGAACGTTCATATATGTCGTTGTAATTTTCTTTAAAGGCATATAAGTAGTTTTGGAAATGGTCGTATATGACTCTTGATAATTGACTTATTTTGTTATTTAGGTATGAGGATGTGTTGTTGCAGAAAATTGTTCCCCATGAAAATTAGGATTGTCTTAAAATGTTGTTTAAAAACTTTGCCACTTAAACTATATTAATACCTTGATACCACAAGGGGGACTGGTGAAAATGTGTATTTTTGTGACCCTTGAAAGTATTTCAGCACTGGTTTCCAGCGGCTGCTGCTGACGTGACTGCCTCCCTCCTGTCTGTCTGTCTTTGTACGCTTGAGTTGACACCCTGTTGGGTCAAACTTGTTTCTGGGGACAAAATAAATAAGTGAAGGATGTTTGGCTGCAAGTCGAGGCTCTGCTGATTCTATGAATAATAATCCTGCTTTTCTCTCTCTCTCTTCTCCTTTCTCCCCTCTTTCTCATCCTCCTTTCCGCCTCCTCCTCCTGGCGTTTCTGTTCGTCCTTAACATTTCTCTCCTAACATTTGTCTTTGTTCCCTCCCCTCTCTGTCTCTCTCTTCTTTTTCCCTCTCTTCCCTTTGTTTCTGTCTCCTTCCTCCTTTATTTCCATTTATCTCCCCCGAATTCTTCGTTCCTCTTCCCTCTCCATTGTTGACCTTATTCTTTTTACTTCTATTTCTCTTAATGCCCTCCCTTTCTCTTTTCATTCCCCCCACTCTCTCAGGTATACCTTCACAGGTATCTATACATTCGAGTCTCTCATAAAGATCTTGGCGAGGGGTTTCTGTGTGGGACCCTTCACCTTCCTGAGGGACCCCTGGAACTGGCTCGACTTTAGCGTCATCGTCATGGCGTGAGTCAAACACACACACACACACACAATATTCACACATTATAAAGTTTCTCCCAGGGCTTCACAAGTATCTTAGCATGTTCATCGATATCTGTATGGATTACAAAGTGTAAGCCTCTCATTCACCTATTTGTAGTTTTAAATTTCACAAATCAAGAGGCAATAAAAAAGAAAACCTAATAAATACTGAAAATAGAAAGCAAACCCATTTGAATTATGAAAAGGAAAGAGGTAATACAGTAGAAAATGTTGCAGGTTAATAGATGATACATGAATTTGAGTTGGTACAGATATTTAAGAAAAGATTCAGGTTTCTACGAATTCGAGGAAAGGCCTCAAAAACATCTGAAACAGACCTTAGCTTTATTTGGTGTCATGCTACAGTACAATCAATACTTCCCGTTCGTGTTTCAAATTAAAAGCCCACCAGAAAAGGAGAGTGATTATGTAATTTCAGCTGCTGGAAGGCTTTTAATGTGAAACATCTGTGCAGGAAAAGAAGTGCAAAGTAGAACAGGGTGGAATTAATCAGCATGTGAGTTCAAAACAGAAAGTCAGCAGGGTGGTGAGTCTGACATGACTCTGTTGTACTGGTGGGATTAAGGCTATGGAATTAAAAATAAACACTTATACAAGCCTGTCTCTGCAGTTGAGGTACATATACTTGAAAATGTATGATTTTAAGTCAGCTAAGCAGACAGGCATTTGTTAAACTCAGACACATTTGCAAAGTAAGGAGAAACTCGGCTCTCTAACTACAGAACTTTGTCTCATTGTGCTGTCAGTCCGAATGATTGGGCCGAAGAAAGAAAGAAAAAACAAACTTCAGGCTGCAGCATCATATATCATTAATACACTTAATAAGCAGAAGTATGGGTGGATCAAAAAATAAATCTGGGCAGTGATGCAAGTTCATGTTTCTCATGTCAATCAAAGTCATTATGTATTTTACTCAAGTGCTTTTGATTTCTGACATTTGTTTTATTTACACTCCACTATATAACAAAATATTGTACTTTTTACTCCACTAATTACATTATATAGATAAATACATAATCACAAAATATGATGCTTTATCATGAACCTACCCAGTAGTGTAACAACTAGTAAAAATGACCAGCTACAATATAAAAATGTGCAATTATTACAACCTTTGTTTACAGAGCACTTCACAGAAAGGTGAAGTGAAATACCACAGTGAATGATAAAATACATGAGGGAGAAAGAAAGATAATAAAATAAGCAGGCAGCTCAGATATAATCCGGATAGGTTTTCTGATAAAGTGCTCTTTAGAGGAGACTTAAAAGAAGACACTGACTCAGACAGCCTTTTTTCCCCGGGCAGGTTGTTCCAGAGCCCTGACAAAAAAAGCTCTGTCCCCTTTAGTTTTCAGCCTGGACTCAGGGTGAGCCAAAAGGCCCCTGCCTTAAGACCTGAAACTACACAATAGTTCATGATTAAAAAGTGTAAAATATAATCTGGAGCCATAAAAGTAATCAATAAGATATTGAAAGCAATGCTAAAACAAACAGGGATTCAATGTAAAGAGGCTACACAGTGTACCAGTAAAATAATCAAATATATCTAAATGTTATATAATAATATTTAAGGACTTAACAAGAACATTTTGCTGATTCTGTACTTTTAGTTTTTAAGTAAATACTTTTAAATACATTTATGCTTTATTTTTATATTGTATTGGGAGTTTTACTAAATGCTGTCTTATCTGGTATCTTCATTGTAATAATTTAGGATTTAAGTTTAATGGCTTATCACTGGTTTTCCCTCAGAAAAGCAGGAGGTGTTTCAAATATTTTGGACATTTCACTGTAAATGTCATGTTTGTTTGCTCTAACTGCTGAATCCGCTCTCCTTGAATTTAATCTCATCACACTGCAGTCTGTCCTGTGTGGTTGGAGGGAGACGGGGGGGGGGTCCTATCCAAGAATAACTTTAATGATTACACACCTGCTCAGATAAAGTGATAATCCTCATAGTAACAGTAATTTGTGGTTTTTAGGGCAAAAACATGACCACAACTGGAGTATTAACCATTCACTTTATGGATTATCTCTCGGCTGTAACCAAGTCAAAAACTTGAGAGTAAAAATAGTGGGTATTTAACATGTCTAGATATACCAGAATGGTACTTTTAATAACTGATTGTGATGCAACCTATATTGCTGCTCTCCTACTTGGTTTTGGCGATTATTAACATCACTTTCAAAATTCTGTCTTTCCTTTTTAAAACGGCCTTGTGTGAGTTCAATATATATTTAAATCTACAGTAAACTCTGTACTTTAAGACAAAACCCCAAAACACTTAAAGTAAAGTATCACAGACAACCGAGGACAGTTGAATATATCGAATATCTAACTAAAACCCCCAAACAAACCAAGTCAATGTGAAGAAATGACAAAAAGACACAATACGCTCGATTAATAAGACAACTTTACTCAGTGTTTTATAGAAAAACAAGTGGTTTCTTCAGTGACACCCATGCATTTTCCAAATTACAGGTTTGAAAGGCCCAAAGGCTCTGTAAACTCACTCCGCACATAAATGACTGTCAAACCGTCAAACCATTTTCTTTTGACTGAGAAAACAATACACAGACACTGCAGCCTCTTTTCCCTCTGATGACGCCCACTCTGCACGCAGCAGCCCAGCATTTTGTCTCAGAAAGGAAAAGATCTTGACCTGTCCACTTCAGCAATGGACTGACTGATGGAAAATCACTGCGTTTGGTTTGGTTAGCGATCAGGTGGCGATCAATCAGAGAGCTGGGGCGCGGAAGGAGGGACGTGGGAAGCGTGCGGCGCCGCCAGGGAAGATAAACGTTCAGAATGAACCGATTGGATCAATAGTTGACCCCGAGGCTCGACTCTGAGGTTAGCTCGTGGTGTAATGAAGCGCTGTCACCTCCACTGCAGCCGCCCGGTAAATTGAAGCGCCTTGATGAAGGTGCCCTTAAAATGGTCGGATGGCCTGCCACCAAATACCTCAGTGGGAGAAATGGCTTCACTTAAAGGACAAATTCACCATTAAAACGGTTATCTGCTGGTGATGTACTTTACATTCTGTCTGCATTCAGCAGGTCAGCGTCTGCCTCATCTCTTTTTAGATAACTGGCCAAACAAAGATGCAGACACGTTTCATCCAGATATTTTCAACAGCTTCATGGAAACACCAAAGACAACGTTCACATGTGGTTTATGCAACGAAAACACTAAGTTAGGGTACGATGATGGCCGGTGTTGCCTTTTTTGATAATAACGAAGAAAAAAAAAAAACTTAATATGGCATCCTTGTACAACTTTATCAGAGAGAAAATCAACAATATTCAACCATAAAACAATAATCGCCGGCACTGCTCAAACCCAACATTTAGACCTTCACAGTCACGCGGTAAAAAGAAAGGCAGAGTCCTTATGGCCACTTCCATCAGGCCGCTGCTTCAAAGCACCTCTGGGGAAAAACGAGAACTCACAAAAACTGTTTTATTCCCCCTGCAATATCTATTTAAAACAAGACCAAATAGACTGTCACTACAGCTTTGCACACCTTCTCTTATTTAGTTATGGAATTGTTTGTCTTTAATTATAATTTTATATGGGTGGAAGTTTTTATGTTATACGTGAGCCCCTGACCTAAGACAAAAGAGTTTTTTGAGTCTAGTTAGTAAGACGTGTCATCCGACCATGTTGGAAATCCAAAATGTTTATAATTGTTAGGAACGGCCACAGTTGAAGGTGGAGTGAAAAGAGAGGAGGGGACGTGATAATGTTAAAATATGGGAATAACAATGCACATTTTTACAGTTTCTCCTGGAAGACATCCATAATATTTGACTCCATTGTTCATGAAAAGTGAAAGAAATTATAAAAAAGACAGTTAGAAAGAGAAGAGAGATCTTCCTGCAAAATACCAGCTTCTACTGACTTGGGTTTAGTCCAGGTTTATGTTGATCTTGCACTTTTATACAGTCACACACACATTCACTTCTGATTTCGGTTTTTTAACACAACTTTTATTTCTAACTTCCCTTAAACATAATTCACGAGGTTAAAGATTTTGCTGTATTATCCGCCATAAAAAAATATAATGATGATGGTGCAGATTTCCTAAAATTATTAACTTAATGTCCACAGAACATATGTGATGTTAATGAGATACATCTATCAAATTTAAGAGGCCTGCAGTGAGTCTGTGGCGACAATACAGACAAATGAATTAAGCTGTTAATTTGAGGGACTAAATTAAGTAAAGGGAGGGTTTGATTTAGTAGCCCACAAGCACCAATTATCCACTCATTTGAGAGTTTTAATTACTAAATTGAGAGAAGGAAATACATATATTTAGCATGCAAGTGACTAATTAATCAAAATGTACTCCTTCTTGTGGGGGTCGCTCTAAATTTTTTTGCAAATAAAATCAACATTTGTCTTGAATATATTAAATTTACACAAATAAAGGCTACAGGTTTACCTCAAAACAGACTTTCATAAACTCTGTCTGTCGTTTGGTGAAAAAGTGTTGATCTCTCGTTTGGCCTCGCAGTGACACACACACCAGTCAGTAGGCGTGTGTCCTTGAACGTCCTGTGGTCAGATGGATCTTTAGCAGGACAGGAACACATAAGTCACACCCCCCCCATACCATACACACACACACACACACACACACACATACACACTGAGGATGGAGAACATGTGAATGTGTGGTCATATACACAAAAACACATGCACTATCAATACCATGATAGTTTGTATGGACATATCTGCAAACACATATACACACACACTCCGCCCCTGACACATCACCCCTCTGTTGCCCGAGCTTTATTAAAACCAGAGTGATGGTTGGTAAATGGACACACACACACACAGACACACACACACACACACACACTAAAGGTCTGATTGATGCTCTCCTCCCATCCCATTGAGTCAGGATTCCCATGGTAACAAAGTCCATCACCCTCCCCTGCACACACAC